GCACGAGGGAAAGGCCAGGCTTGGGTAGGCCTTGGGGAGTCATTTGCTTTTAGATGGTCAATATAGCCAAAGGGACTGGGCAGGGTCACAAGTTTGAGGTGTTTCTTTCATGTGAAAATGTGTTCAGGACTCTGAGTAACTGCCCTAAAATAATGAAGGTCAGAGAACTGTTTGTAAACTGTTACTCTTAAATGGTTGAGGCTACACATCACTGGGTCTTGGCTAGTATCTGGAGTGGAGTAGGTACATGATACTATGTTTACCAAATGATGTTTAAAGATTCAAGAGACCTTTTCCCATCTTAATGAGACATTTTCTGTTCAGTTGTTTTGATAAAGTCACTTGATTGTGTTAACCTGCAAGTCATAAAAACTACACATTGTCCTCTTTTTTGTAAGGCCTGGAGGAAAAGGCTAATCCACATTAGGAAGATTTCATTTAAGACCTTGTAAGAAAACTCAAGACTTTGTGCTATAATCACCAAACCTTGCCTGTGTTATGGAAAGATTTTTGCCTGTGTCATGTCATCCTTGTTTTGTTCGATTTATTCCTCCCCCTCCAAGTGTCCTAGTTTCTCTTCTACTGTAGTTAGTTTTGAACAAAACAGGGAAACTTTTTTTTTAATTTGGTTACTCAGTGTTTTTTTTTTTCAAATAGGTGATAATACATCCTTAGCAATTTTTTAAAATCCTCACTGAAGGATATGTTTCTTGATTTTAGAGAGAGAGGAAGGGCAAGAGAGAGAGAGGGAAAAAACCCCACATTGATGTGAGAAAGAAACATGGATAGTTTGCCTCCTGTATGCTCGACCAGGGATTGAACCCAAAACCTAGGCACGTGCCCTGATGGGGAATTGAACCTGCCACCTTTTTGGTGTATGGGACGACTCTCCAACCAATTGCTAAGGTCACTTGACCGGGACCTTAGCAATTTTCAAATCACATATTTGTTTTCTTTTCTCCCTGACTATAAAGGAATTAGACATTGGAAAAGATAAAGTATAAAACAGTGATCCACCTGTAATTCGAATAGCCAGAGAGAGAATGAGCGTTTACTATTTTGTTTTAATTCCTTCTGGTCCTTTGCCTATATTTATATATGTATATGGAAATAGTTTATATATTTGGAATAATGCTATAATCCTGTTAAGAACTTTTAACCAGTATTATATGGTGCATATTTTATGATAACTTATAATATTTCTAGAAACATGATTTTTGAAACTGCAGAGTATGGGTAAATACATGCTGGCTTTTAACAACATCAACAAAAAATCTCAAGATGATCTCAGTAATTGACAAATCTTCCTAAGACTAAAACTCCAAGCAAACAGAATACAAACACTGAAAAGTCTTTGAGATATGTACTACTCTGAAGTTCGAATTTTGTGTTTTTAAAAGATCTTGATTTGAAGTCAGCTTTCACACTTTTCTTACTCGCTTTGATTATGTTAACTTAAAATTTAATTACCTTTCACACACTTCACTGCTTTCCATTGGGACATACTGGTCCAATGTGACCCTTTGTGGTATTTCATAAAATTCCACCTTATAAGCCATCCTAATTTTCTAAGTGTAGTAAACAATATTGAGCACATTCTTTTGGTAATATATCAGAAGTGCTAAGAGCCATAAAAAGGTGTGCATTTAATGTAAGTAATATAGAATTACAGAATTGCCATGTATTTTTTAACATTATTTTGAAAAAAAAATAAAAAATCCCCAAGGGGTGTGAGACTAGAAGCAGCCTTTCCTTTTGGTAATCCTTCCGGTAGACCCAGCCCTGGTCATTCACAGGTGTGCCTCCTGTGACCTTCCTTGCCAGTAATAACAGTGGGGAATTCCAGGAAAGGCTACTATCCCTAGAACTCCCTTTGCTAAATGCATTCTGCCCACATCGGGAAGCTGAAGTTTCTGCCTCAGGACACCAGTCCCTTCTTGCTCATACAGGCTCTGTGTTAATAATCATTTGGTTATTAACACAGAGCCTGTATTTGCTTGGAAAACTCCTCTTCAACCTTATGTAGCCCTTGACCCTTGACTATTTTGGCTCCATGTTCCCCTCCTTTTCTCTCCAACCTGCTTTCTCTTGTGCCTTCTTCTCCAAGATTCGAATCCCATTTTCTTAGGATTTATTTTAAATCTCGGAAATCTCATTGTGTCTGCTATTGCTTTGATGGAGATTATGACTCAGAAGCTATAAAAATGGATACATAAAATATGTAAAATTTTAAATTGGGCTATGTTATTTATAGTTTTATAGTTCACGATTCTCAACAGTATATTGTGAAAGTTTTCCCATGTTTTAAAATATTCCTTGAGGACGTGAACATATAGATATCTGTACTTTGTTTTCTCTCTGGTTGATCATAAAGAGTGCTTACAGTTTCTCAGTTATGTTTTATAAGGAGCTTCTTGGTCTCTATGACTCGCCTATAATTCCTGATTTATTTCTATAGACTCTTTATTTCCTTCTCAGTGATACCTCTTTTTAGACTTTGTTCATCTTTATTTATTCTTTTGCAACACATTCCTAGCAGGTTTCCTTGTTTTCAGTTTCAGTGGACTCAAGGTTGCTCTGCCCCACTGATAACCTCAATGACCTTGGAAACTACAGCACATCTGTGACACCCCTGTGTCCATATCTGTTTAAGAATTCCAGTCACTTTCATCCATCCACCCCTGATACCTTCTTCCTGAGCCCTCTGACTTGTGGGGGGAACCTGCAGTGTCACGCATTCGGGCCTCTCTGAGTTTATGACGCTATCTGCCATCAGACTTCTGTGCTGCTCAGCTTCTTTGACTCAGCCCATCTCTGCTTCCTTTTGCTCCCCAGTTGTTCCAGACTTTGATATTCTTGGCTCAATCTCTAATCCCTCTCCCACTCTCAGCCCATGACCTTGTCTTCTACTTCTCTGCAGCAGCAGCCCTCAGTTGGAGCAGCACTATAAACTGCCCTTCCCTCTACCTAGTTCCTATTTACAGCAGCAATTGTCCTTTCTTCGTACATATCGCCTCAGAAGCAGCTTCCACCCCTTCTCCAAGGGCACCAACCACTTCACTCTGCACAAAGTCCTGTCCTTTTAAACCAGTGGTTCTCAACTGGGGGCGTCTTTGCCTCCTAGGGAACATTTAGCAATGTCTGGAGATAGTTTTTGGTTGTCACACCCGAGGAGAGCTGCTATCTAGGGGGTAGAGGCCAGAGATGCTGCTAAATATCCTGCAATGCACAGAACAGACCCCCTTTCACATCAAGAATTAGCTGGCCCCCAACGTCCATAGAGCCCAGGTTAAGAAAGCCTGCTGTAGATTAGTCTTAGACCTAAGCCATGCTCCATTGCTTGTCCAGTGTCTGCATTCTTGTCTCTTCACCATAGCTGCTTTGTGGAACATTATTTGTTGTTGTTTGTTTGTTTGTTTTTCTTTTCAGAATATTAGATTTGAGAAGTTTCAGGATACCCTCAGATAGTAGTGTAATGGGAGCAGGGATAGTAACTCAGCATTGAGACCCATTGTTTGTGTTGAATCTACTTTAGCGTCTGTTCCTAGATCGTGGTGCTTCCCTGGTTGGTTGGGTCTCACTTTCCTCTGGATGGAGAGACTTGAACTAAGGTTTCTAATGCTCCCGCCATTGCTGCCATTTCCTAATTAAGTGTTAAGATTGTTGTTGACCAGGTTTAGTTGCATTTTAGTAGAGGTTGGGCCAAGGCTGATCTTCATGAGTTGGGAGAAAGATGTAGTTAACCTGAAAGTGGATGCACACCATGTGGTCAGTAAGTTTGATTGTTAATGGTGGTAGCAAAATTGTAGTTGGAAAAATTAAGTGTGGGCTTTTTCCTTCTCCCAGAATAAGCTTTTTCAATGCCTTTTTCCAAGGCAGAACTGTGGACAGAGAGGGAGGAAACATGATAAAATGAAATGTTTGGCTGTGGGAAAATGATTATTAATCAGAAATGTGAATTCTGTCTTCACTTTTTATATTAATACTTGGAGTATCTGCTCTTAAATTGAGATTGTTTAGCACTTATGTGTCCTCATTTTCTGCTTAAACCTAGAGGTATTTTTCTTATTTCAAGAATTCTACTGAAAATGGTTGGAACTGTCAACCTGTGAGGAACTATCTATGAGGGTGTATTTTTGAGGACAGGGTTTCTGGTAGTAGTAGCCCAGTGCCCACTTTCTCCACCAAGACGTCAGTGATCCTCCCAGCCACCAGAGGTCGCTGGCTGCCCTGGTGATCTGTTTTGTCATTCCAGCACCTCCGGGAATCCTAGCCTTTGAGCACCTGTGGGAACTCGAAAGTCTAGTTTAGAGTTTCTCATTTGACATGCCAGGAACACTTAATGAGTGAGCATGCCACAAAATTGGAGTTCATGTGGAAAGTGAGCTTTTTGCTATAAGTAAGAACATTTCCTGTGTCAGCCACACCTGTGGGGTTGTAGAGTGGGGTTTGACCTGCTTCAAGCAAGAGCAAAAAGGAGTCCTTTAGTGCCAGTCACAAGCCTGAGAAAGAGCACACATTTTACTTGGCCCTGGGAGTTGAGCAGAATAAAGGGTGGTCAGTTCTGTAAACTGTACCCCTCAAATGGGACTCGGGGCCCTTGATCTATGCCTGGCATCTGAAAATGGTTTACATACCAGAGATGTTGGATTCATAGGGAGGTGCTGTCTCTCTTGTGATACTAAATCCCCCCATCTTTTCTGTTTGGTGGTGTAGTTTGTATCATAGTTCTATTTGAAACCTCGGGCACCATTTTAAACAGCCCAATCCCAGGTTATATTACTTAGAAAACCATGTGCTCTATGGGTATTGCCTGTCCTGTCAGGCATGTCCTCCATTCATCTTTTCTATGATCGCGAACTGTCATTTGAAGAAGCAATGCTGCAGGTAACAGCGTTCTGGCAGGTGTGGCTGTGTCAGCTGAATGCCGAGCTGGGCGGGGTTACTTAGGCTTACGGTAGGGGTGGAGCTTGACTCAACTCCTTTTCCACCAAGGAGCATTTCTTTCTAGCTGTCATTGAAGTGAATCATCAGGATAAGTAGCCAGCTCGGAGCATTCCTCCTCAGTTGTGTTAGAACTTGCTGGGGGTCCCCGAGAACCAGCAGAGGTGTGTGCTGGCAGCATTTCAACACAGGGAAGGAGAAGACAGACCAGAGCCCGAGGATCCGAGGGTCCTCGAGGTGAATTTCCAGCTGTGCTACCGGAACACTAGCCCAATCTGACGCCTTCCGGCAGAAGAGGTGGCTTGTTTTCCGTGAGCCTTGAGGACAATTATAGGTAAGCACAAAGACACCACTGTGTATTTATTATATGAATGCATAGTATCTACTATTGGCATGGAGTTGGAGTTTGGTCTAGTGCTGTTTTTATATCTGTGGCATTCTCCTAGCACATACCAAGATTTTTCTTTATAAAGTTACTTCTCTTTGGTGTTCAGGGTTAGCTGTAGTTGATCAGTTTTGCTCTCCTTGTATGTATAGACGGGACAGGAGCAAAGAATGATATTGAAAAACATTGTCATCTGAACTCTCCTGATTTCTTTACTCTTTGCGTCTCATCTTTGGCTGGGCTATTTAGAAGCATATACGCTTTTTATTATAAAAGGAAAGCACATCGATACTTTTGTTTTCTTTTGAAATCATAGAAAATGTAGACCACTTAATTTCTGGGAATTTTTCTCTGATTTAGAAGTCACTGGTTAAGGAGGAAACAATTGTGTTTTTCTTCCTGTTTGTGTTGGGTCTCTCTTTTCTGAGTGTTTCTGACTTAGAAATCTCACTGGAAAAGAGGGAGACACCAGCTGAACTTGGCCTGAAATGAAATAACATCTGAGGGTTGTGAAGTGTTTACTTGAACAATGATTTATGGTTTATATCTGAATTTTTGCTTGGCAGTGATAGAAATCTTTCTTCCCCTTAGTATTTGGCTTACATGTCTTATTCTAAATCTATTTGTTATTGTTATTATTAATTAGAGAGAACAAAACTTAAAGCCCAGGACACAGTCAACTGAAGTTTTCCTTTGTGTTTTGCTGTCGTTTCCCACCCTTACTACTCATACATATGGATACACTATATGATTAACACGTGATTTTTTTCTGTTTCTTTACTGTCTCATTTGATGGTGATTCATAAACTGTTAGTTTCACCAGTTAGTATATGTCTGTATATTGCCAAAGCCTGAAATAACCTGGAGTGCAGGCCACACCTTTATGTTAATGAGCCAGGTACTTTCAAAAAAGTATTTCTAAAGTTAAATATCTTATTAAAGAATAACTCAGATTTGATGAGTATATTGTTTACATGCATGTGAGTTAGGGTATGCCAATCAAACAAAGAAAAGGAAACAAGTAACTAAACTATAAGAGGGAATTTAAAGAACATGTGGTATTGCTGTTTTAAAAATGTCTCTGAGGACAAGGTGAATTTTAATTCCCATGAGAATTTGAGTAAGATGATGGTGAAATTGAGAAGAGAGAAAACAGAAATATTTAATTAGGCAGGAGAAAAGGAAGGACATGATTCTCACAGACATTTTTCTTAAAAAGGCTTGTTTTTGTTTTTTTGCGGGGGGAGTCTTGTATTGAAACTAAATGGTATTTAAAGCAACATGTTTAGGACATTTTCTTTTCACTGTAGAATATAACAGAAAGAGACAAGATGAAGGCAGGAACAGAATGATAGACATTTGCTAGTTGAGGAGCATAAAAAATTTATTCTAAAGTGGGTTGTTTGGTGGGTCTGGTGATGGTGGGGAGCCCTATATACTTATTGACAACATCATAGAGGCTGTTAATAAAACTGAGGTTTTTGTGGTTATGACCATTGTGTTGGAGTGGGAGGGTTTTGATTTCTTTTTTAATCTCATTCCAGGTGATGTTTATTTCATCAGTCAGTATTTCTTAGGGCTTTTCCAAATCAATTTTCAGGTGAAGTCGTGTATATATCATTTCTTTCACCTTGGCAGAAATCTGTTCCTTCTTGTGGGTTCCCTCCTTTGCAATTTGAGTTCATGATGATTTAATGTACTAGCAATGTAGAGGCTTTCCCATTCTCCAGGTTTGCTTGAAGCGAGCCTGCTAATCTCTCAGCTTGGATCCCAGAGGCTTTTGAGGTCATTCACCTGCAGGGTGATGGCAGAAGCACGTGCTCTCAGGTGTTTACAGAATCTGTCTCAGCTATGCTCTCAGTGGCTCAGAATTCCACAGAGGGTCACCTGGCACACCTTCACTTACAGTAAATATTTGTGCTCTCTCCATGCTTGGCCTGGTTTTCTTGGTACCCAGGTTGGCAGGAGCACATGTAGGTAGGCAGCTTCCCCGTGTGATCTTGCCCACTGGCCAGGACTTGTGGGTCAAGCCTGGGTGAGATGGCCAGCTACCCTCCTGAAATCAAAGGGGGCTTTGTTTCTGACCCATCTAAAGGCCCCAGGTCTAGATCTTATAGAAAATCCCTCCTGCCCTGCTGTTGTCACCAAAACTGGATCAGCCAAAATAATCACGAGATCTTGAACCATGAGCTGTACTCTCTCAGCTGAGACATATGTGAGCTATTTTTTCATCTTAGAAGTAGTTACTGGAAGAAAGGTTAAAATACCAGCTCCTGATTGACATCATCGCTGAAAACAAAGGATTGCTTTCTTCTCTTGGAGAAAGGAATTTTCTGTGGAAATTTTTGGAACAGCACATGATACGTGTGACATATCATCAACTCCCAGGGGTAGTTAACAGTGTCACTTCAGACTAAGTGGAAACACAGAGACCATAGATTCAGTGGGGTCGCTGGAGTTGAACAGAAATACATAAAGAGCACCGCTTCAGTGATGTAAGCGGCTGTGCTCACTTCACTATTACTCATCAGCCCTGGGCGAGAGGATTCCATGGAATTATAAGCCACCTCTGACTCAGGTCAGTGACTGGAAACCCCGCCATTGAAGGCGTTTGGTCATGTGTTCTGAGCAGAGGTCATGCGGAGTCCTGGGGCTTCGATCTTCAGGAACATTAGCCCACACAGGTGTGCAAACCTTCAGCCCTGTTCACAGGGTCAATGAGTTTATTTTGGCCAAGATCTGCCATGCTAAGTAGATGCGCTTGAGCCTCAAGGAAGTCTCTAGTTTCACTAAAGGAAGTGGTGCAGCGGACTTGAAGGCATTGGAGTATATTCTACTTTTCTTTCGTACTGTACCCTGTTGTGATGAGGTCTTCAGAGGCCTCATTTTATGTGGGCTCATCAGTGAGTGATCTCTGAAAGAGATTTGTTCTTGGACACTCTCTGGTATTACATTCATGTGACTATTTAGTTTAATTCATTGACAAGGCTTGTTCATTACTTTAAAATAATTTGTCTTCTCACTATCCTTTTAATCCATTAGTTACCGAATAGTTATTAAATATATTTGTGTTAGACACTCAGGAGTACCTCTTTTTCCCTTACGCTTGACACTTTTCATTGAGCTAAAATTCATTTAAGTTTGACTTGTTCCTTCTCTTATTCTTGTTTTTACTTGATTAGTTTAATTTTTTTTAAAAGTCCTTACCTGAGGTCTTGTCTTTTTCATTGATCTTTAGAAAGAGAGAAGAAGAGAGAAAGAGGAGAAACTTTGATCCATTGCCTCTTGTATGCACCCCGACTAGGTATCGAACTTGCAACCTAGGTATGTGCCCTGACCGGGAATTGAACCCACAACTTTTTGGTGCAGGGAACAATGTTCCAACCAACTGAGCCTCCTTGCCAGGGTTGGTTGATTTAATTTTCAGTATACACTTTAGCAGCTCTGAAGCATTGGGCTGAGTGAGGATGGCAATCAAAGACAATTAAGAATTGATTTGTAAGAATTTGCCCCTTTTGTTAGCTGGTTTAAAAAAATTAATCTTCTCTTCAACTCTTTGTTTTTTAATGGGAGGCCACACATCAAGGTTAAGTGGTTTTCCTTGTGTGCATGTGCACCAGTGGAACACTGTTTTTGAAGAAAATAAAGAATTTAACAGCTAGAAAGGATTATAAGCTGAAAGGTATTCATGTCAGGGAGCAAGAGAGAGTGAGAATGGAAGATGAAATGGCCCTCATCACACCACCTGCATAGAACTTCAGATCCCAAGAGATCAGGCATCATCCTACTGCAGGGATATTGCCATTAAAATTTGATTCGGACCATGACATGGGACAGAAAGCTTTGATGACAAAGCCAGCATCTTAGTTTAGCAATAACTGGTTAGGAGTAAGACCCACAAACTAAGCAGCGAGATTCAGCAGTTGTGTGTGGTACCCCTACCTGTGCAGAGAGAGCCCCAGCATCTTCACCTGCATGCAGGCTAATCCTGCAGGCCAATCCTAGGTGTTACCCTAGTCATCATTAAATTGCCCTTGTGTTGTGCTAGCGACAACTACATTTGGCTCTGCTTTTTTAAATTTGTTTGTTTTTATTAGGGGAGGGGAGAAGTGTGGGCAGAGAACAAAATAAAAAGGAATTTGCAAGCTCCCAAATTGAGAGTGCTCCAGTTAGAGTCAAAGTGACCTCCCAACCTTGAGGGGAAACTAATTTACTCAACAGATATGCACTGAGCACCTCAGGGGCCACTCTCGGGCTATAGGGGCTAGGAAGGCTAGTATAAACAGAAGAGGCCAAGTGCCATCAGTGTCCGGCTGCTGGGCTGCACAGCCATCTGAGGCCACCTGCCTCTGTACCTGCAGGGAGCTTCAGCCAGTGGAGAAGACTGACAATAACCAAGAGAACAGATACTGTCATTGGAGGTAGTGTGCGGGACTTTAAAGTAACAAAAATCAGGAGACAGGAATAACAGTTACATGGTGGACACGCTTTTCTTCTTCTGCATGGCAGCCCCTGACATTTTTTTGTTAGTATGGAAGTTGTAGCCAACACTACGATTGTGGTTGGAAATCCTTAAGCAATAAAAAATAAAATAAAATAGTATTCAACTTAAAAAAAATCCTTTTAATATCCTCCTCATAGAAAATTATAAATTATTGTACCTGGAAGGGTAAATGGTCATGGATCTTAGAGCAAAATGAAAACATATATCCTGGAAAAAAATATTTTAACTCATTAAACATGTCTAAGTATCATATCTAGAAAACTAGGGACACCAGCATTGGTGCAGTAGCCTCAGCACAAATGAATTATTCTGCCCTGTAAGAGGCGTGGTGGCCCGGCCAGTGTGGCTCAGTGGTTGAGTGTTGAACCAGGCAATCAAGGTTCAAGTCCCAATCAGGGCACATGCCCCAGTTTCAGGCTTGATCCCCAGTAGGGGGCATGCAGGA